CCGGTGCCTGTGCTGCAGTCAGGCTGGATCGGCGAATACCGGTCTCACGTGACTGCATATTCCAGATCGCAGTTGTTAAAACATGCGCCTGACATCCTATCTGAAGGGAGCGGGAAAACTGAAATGCAGTCGGCCCAGATATTTAGGGGAGGGGGGGGGTAGTGAACATGGCCACCCATAAACAGCTGACTTCCTCGAATACTCGTGACCTCTTTAAAATGCTTATTATTATCTATGTTAATGCTTATCCACCAAATCTACCTTAAAGTATCATCCAAAAACTATTTACTATTCTCTTAAATTCATCTTACATCATTGCCCTTAAACATGTATGGGTTCCAGCTACGCGTAAACACACCTACAATTGTTATTCTTACCCAGGCGAAAACTAATCAAGTTACCTTGTTATTCAGGCAGGCACAGTTCACAGTAATAGGTTAAAATTAGCAGAACATTTTCTCACCATACAAATGTATTTACACGTAAAAACGAAAGGAATTAGCGAGTAATTTAGATAGGCTTTGCGAAAAAATCCGCGAATATGCGAATTCGTGAAGACTGAGCCGCGAATATGTGGAGGTCAACTGTACTCAACGACATAGTGAAGCCGGGTTCCAGTTTTAGGTTATAAAGAACCCGGATGCCAAATAAACAGACGTCAATCCTAACTTTCTTGTCACTAGGTGACCAACTGTACTCACTCTAGATCAAACCTCCAGGTCAAACTACAATCGTCAAGGTCACTGGCTCGGTGAACCGACAGTGAAACAACACTTTCGACAGTAACTTTGCCACTGACAAATTGATAATTTGATCAGCCGGATATCAATCAATATTGTCCGCTCCGCAGCAGTACAATTGAGATAGCTGAAGGTTCAGCGTCTTTGTCCCCATAACATGCTGCGCGTTAGATGAACTGGAACAAGCCTGTAGCCACGCTGTCTCACAGCACGCGTTCAGTGCGGTGCAAAGAATTCGCACGAGCCGATAACTGCCAACCGCGCATGCATGTAAGGACACGCCTTGAGACGCAGATGTACACGTTACCGTGCCCAATTCGAATACCCGCTAGTTTAAAGGTTCGAACAGTCCACTGGTGCAGAGCAGACTGAAGAAAAAGCAGTGAGGAATCCATCTTCACGGAGCATACACGCATTCCTCACTCTAATAAACCTGAGGGGGTTGAATCAATCACGGCGCGCTAAGAGGCATGTCCTGAAAGGTTCCCAACTGGTGGGCGGCAATGGCTCCCTTTTAATGGGCCTTTATTGGCGATACCACGTCCTCAGAGTATCCTAGTGCATGCAGTAGATAGCAGGTCGTGTGTGGCCCGCGAAGACGACATATGCAGCTTCGTCAGTCATCACGCCACCATCAATTTTCAGCCGTTTAAACACTGTCAGGCCCGGCGGTCAAGGAGATGACAATTCTGTGAAGGCTTCATAATTCTACCTCGCGATCAACTCATCCACACTCAAGTCACCGGTGCTGAGGGCCACACGATGCACGTCGTCGCTA